CGACTTTAATCGTCTGTTCTTAGTTAATGTGTCACCAGGTGTTATGGACCTTGCTACCTTTCCTGTCTCACTCCAGTCCCCTTTCCCCTCTCCTTTGGCCCCTCAGCCCACCCTGCTCCCATACACACATTCTTCTGTGCAATCTGTGAGTTCCTTGGTATGACACAAGAGTTTTTAAAGTCATTTTCCAGTATCTTGTCCCCACAAACCAATGAAGCTCCATGACCACTGTCGGAGCTGGTTCTGGTACCTCATACAAGAGGGAGGGTGAGAGGAATTTACCTGAACGAAGAAAACTGTCTCAGACTCTCAGACAACCAAAAATAGCCATCTTTTTACTTTTAAGTAAGAGACGATCCTACTTCTTAAATTATTCTTTTTGAAAGGTAGAAAAAAACATATAGAGAGTGAAAAATCTTCTTTTGGTACAAATTCCTTTTTGGATCTTTTAAGAAAGAAATTGGAAGCCTATTACTTGAAGACCTTTCACTTTTTCTTTTCTCTTATGTGTATGTGTTTGAAATAGTAAAATGTCTCTTATAACGCATTCATCCAAGTCTGTAATAAGTTAAATATCACCATGTTAATTCACATACACATACACCCCCCCAAAAAAACCCTCTTATTTTACTTATTTCCAAGTGGGGAATGTTTTCTTTAGAGATGTAGCAAATCAATTATCCTCAATGTTGAAAATGGAATATCTCATTTCCAAACCTGGAGAAATGGCTGAACAAGAATGTTCTGTTTATATATGAGTTTAAAAACTGTTCTGATATTTACTGTTCCTCACAAGGATATTCAATACAAAAATGTAGCTTTCACTTCTGTGCCGTCATGTTCAATAGTAACAACACAGAACATATCAATCATAGACTAGAATGAGTGGGTTTATTGATTGTAACAAAAAAGAAGAAAAGAGAGAAAGAGAGAGACAAAAAATTAATTTTCTGTGTTTAAGAGGTTTTGTCTTTATAACCTTCAGAAATTGTAGAAAGCAAAAGTCCTTAAAAAGCATTTCCAGAGTGGATTCTTAAACAGCCTTAAAAAAAAAGAGAGAGATAATTATCTTAAGTTAATATTCTATTCTTAATACATAGTACCATACTAAGAGAGACTAAATATGTGTTTATACAATAGTTTTCAAAAAATGGATGCAGGACATGTTTCAAAATCCTAAGAAAAAGCACATAGTGCAGCATTGAAACAACATGCTCATTCTGATCGTCATAGCTTGTGTCTGTGATTCCCTCCTTTGAGAGGGGAGCCTGGGGCCTGGAAATGGCTAGAGGACCACTGGCATCTGGAGAGATGAATAGTAGGAGAGAAGAATTGCCAGGTAAATGTGAAAGTGGAAGTTTGAGCCACTATGGCATCTTCAGAGTCCACTTTTGGTTTAGCCAGATCTGTGACTTCATGACAAGATGTTGCAGCTGGTGGGGCCGGAGCTGGGGGGGCTGGGGGGAGGGGAGGGCTCAGGCCCTCTGTGTGCAGTGTTAGCACCCAGATAGCACTGCCACCCTCACCTTAAGAGCCCAGCTAAGTCCTCAGGTGTCCATTCCGCTCTGATGTCTCTTTAGAATGTGTGGGATTCTAAGGCAAAGGAGTCTTTTCCAGACGCTCCCTGTCCTCAGAGAAACCTAGGCCACAGCCCTGTCTGTGCTATGATATGTAGTCCCCAGTATCCCAAAGATGAATAAGCTTTTGCAAAACAGCTGTGAGTCACACCAGCACCCGCTTACACGTCCTCCACGGGACCCTCCACTGAGAATGGTTCCTATCGGTGGATACTGCGGGTAGCTGAAACAGACAGGAGGGAAGCTGAGAGTTTGAAAGGTCTGGCGTGGAGTCTACACTTAGGTAATCAACCCTCTGAAAACTCCACACCTAGACTCAGCTCCCAGATTTTCCCTTTATTCCTCAAGAGGTAGGGAAAAGCATCTATAACCCCTTTCTTCTTTCCCAGTGTCCTTTTGGACAACCCTGTCATATAGGCTTCTAGAACATTTTTGTATCACCTTGGAATTCACTGCATTATTTCAGAATAATACATAAATAATGTTTGTTCATTTAAATTCCTCTCCCCCTCCTCAAGGGGGAGGGGGAATAAAGATAGAAATCTGCCCATCACTGCAGGTAAAACCTGACTACAAAAGAGGTTTGCTTGTCTTCTAATGGCAAGAACACATGGAGTCACATGCTTTCAAGCCAATTAGCAATACAGATGAGCTAGCAAGTCCTGATCCATTTATGGGGTGGGGGAAGGGTGGAAGTCAAATAATCTGTGTTTTTAAGTGTTTCTGAGAAATGAAGACCTCCAGGGCAGAGAGAGAAGGCGGATCAGGAAATAGCTATGCAAATTGCATGCCTGTGAAATTACTAAAACTTTGATTGGAGCATTAACAATTGCTCCAGCATTCACAAGTATGAAACAAGAGTGAGTAAAGCGGGGCATGTTTGGGAAGGGATTACAAGAGTGTTTACTTACATGGTCTGCTGAGCAGTCAATGAAGTCCACGGCTGTTTTGGACTTAAACTCCCCGAGTAGTCCAGGTATGACAAAGGCAGTAAGTACATTTCACTCTCATTAGTGTCTCTGGGGGACCTCAGGGATTTTGACAAAGAGGCAAAAGTGAATGGACCTCATGTGAAGACAGCTTCATTTTTGTCACCCTGTACACAGGGCGTACAGCACAACTGCTCCTCCTTTCAGGAGGTACCACGGCGACCTGAATTCTGTGAGAGTGTGTCTGTGGTTCAAGCAACGTTGGAGTGTGGCTTGGGTGAAAGCAAACTTCGAAACTCAAAGCCCAGGTCTTCAGGCAGCCACAATCCCCAGTGTGATGAGTGTGTTCATTTCTCTGTGGCACATCCATCCATTGTCGTTCAGGGCCGTGTGGTCTTGGTGGCATTGGAACATGAAGGCATTTAAGTCTGGCTCTAGCGTCTGGCTTTGAGACTCTGGGCTCATTTTTTTTTAATGGCTTTATTTGAGGGGGAAAAAAAATTATTTTTAAAAGGGAACTGTCAGAACAATTACCAAATAATAACACTTACCAAATAATAACAGCAGCATTGTTTCACCATGTCTATTGTTTAAAATTCATCATTTAGAATGCCCCACAAGATCGAGTTGTGCTTGTTAATGGCCCTGTGTGTTCATATCTCAGACAATATGATTGCTTTTCAAACATTTCTAGGTGTGGAAGACTGTTTATAGGAAAACAGAATAAAAATAAACTTGAATATTCTTAAATCTTTATATGGGCAGTGTTTTGTGAATTCGCAGAAAAATTCAATCAATTAAATAGAAGTCAAATACCAAGGGGACTATAATGGAATATAACTGGATTTGAAATAAAAATTTCAGGGAATCATTTATGAATTTTTAAGTTATTAGCTTTAAGTTAAAGCCAAAACTAGAAGGTGAGAGCTTCTAGTTTTCCTTTTTTCCCCCAACCATATTTGAAAACTGAAATTCTGTAAGAGATTATCTGTGAAATGCCTTTCTTTTATTACGCCCATAAATTTTAGGAGTGGCTTTGATCAAGCCTTCTGCCATTCTTGGTTTCTAAATCTTTTACTCATACGTTAATAACTTTAAAAACAGTCATCCTATTTTTGTTGTAGTGAAAGAGGAAGTTTCTGAATAGTCAAAAGGGAAACATTGAAAATAGAACACAGTAAATGATAACTAAATTAGGGTAGGGCTTTTTTTTTTTTTTTTCCAGAAAGAGCAATGCTCCATGCTGAAACTTGCCCAGAGTATTTTAAGATTATTGTCTGTTAAGAAAATGTACCAGAGAATTGAGATCCTCAGAGGAAAGGCATTACAGAAATGCAAAGTATTGTCAGTAATGCATGCTATACATAGAACAATGCTTGTCCGTCTCTAATTGGTCAATCAGTAGAGTTTTGTTTTCTGGCTCCTGTTTAAAACACACATACATACTCACTCACACAAACACAACTTGCAAATCAAATGAGTTAACGCTCTGCCGACTTCCTCTAGACATTGACCCCTGGGGTCAAACTCTTAGGAAAATTATGCCTGGTTTTCCATCCCCTGATTCCAGTCTCCACCGACAAGCAAGCCCTATCTCTGAGTGGAAGCTCACAAAGAATTTCTCTCGAGAGAATATGTAGCTGAGTTGGCAACAGAATCCTCTCTGCAGAATGGGAAGAAAGAGTTGTTAACTGATGAGTCAATCCAGCTTTTATAGCAGTTTATCTATCTTCGCGGTATTTCCAAGAGCATAAATGCTATAAAAAAAAAGAGACGGTCATGACAGGAAGAACACAGTAGAAAAAAAACAGGAACATTTAAGCCAAAAGCAATTGACTTTGCCAGTAACTGGTTACATTTCCTTTGTTTTATTATTATTATTATTTCAAGAGTTGGGGTTGAGATGAAAGTTTCCCACACCTGCACTGCCCTGCCACTGGAACTTGTCAGAACATACAGTGAAGTAAATACATAAATGAACGTGTACAGCTCTGAGCTTCTAGACCCTTTAAGAAAAACAAACTTGTTTTGCTCTATTGGCAAGAAAATAGACTATAACTCATTGGTACTTGAAGGAGTTAAAAGAAAGAAAAAAGAAACAAACAAACATGGGTGAGATGTCAAAGTAGTCCTGATCACTGGAGATAGCTTGAATCTCCGGGGAGTGACGCCTATAGAAATAGCAGTGACTTCACAAAGGTGAATACTTGTTAATTTCTTGGCACTGAGTAAGAGGAACAGATGGGCAGTCAGTGAGGAAAGATTTCCTTTAAAAACCACAGAGATCTTTCGCTGATTAGGCAGTAGAGTTAGTGGCCCACAGTAAGGAGGCGATGTGCATGCCCACCCTGACCAAGTTTTATTGGGTTTCGTGGCTTTAGTGGAAGTCCTGTCACCCTACTGCTGAGTCAGGACTAATGGGGACCCTGCTCACTGGCAAGTGTGTCGGATGCTGCTTGCTGCCTGGGATGGGCTGCAGCACCCTCCCTCGTGCTGTGTGGTATTTGAGAGTGTTTTCATGTGGGGAGAGCTCCCTGCTTACTGCCAGCCTTGTTACAAGGCAGAGGGAGGGAGTGAGTGTGCGTGTGTGTCTGTGTTTGTCAGAGAGGAGATGCTTAAAGTAGGGGCCCTGGATGAGGTCCAGTTGCCTGGAGTTGGAGTCCTCCTGCTACCAGTAACCAACTCGATGACGACCGGAGACAAGTAATTTCATCTCTATCTCGGCTTCCTGGCTGTAAAATGGAGATAACATTTCTGCCTTCCTCATTGGCTTGTTGAGAGTTTTAAATGTTATTGTATGCAAAGCACTCGGGACAGTGACTGGCACAAAGTTCTCAGGAAGCATTAGCTACTGTTATTACAATATTTATGTATACTATTGAAAACATTCATGCAATGAGCATTTACTGAACTCTTTGATGAGCCAGGCCAGTGGATCACATAGACATGTAAAAGTAACATGCATTTATTACTTTACACTATTATTTTTTTTTTTTCCCAAGTAGAGCTGACTGGCACCAGGTATGCCATTGGTAAGGGCAGTGCTGGCCTCCCAGGAAACTTTGTTGTTAGCAATTGGTCTGACAAAACAACCCCCAGAGCTGGTCTAATTCTGGAGTCTTAGGATTTTGGTTCTATCAGTAGGTGCAAAGCCCTGAGCTTTCAAGGAGAGGGTGAATATAGATCCCTCCAGGGTGTCTGGAAGGAGGTGTGGCTGTTTCTTATGTAAAAGAGTGAAAGTCCAGCGTCCAGTGCCTCACTTCGGCCCTAAACACCACCATACAATAATGATGCACTTGTTTTCACTCGCTGGCCTAGCAAATGATTTGTTTTCAAGATGCTAAAGGGGAAAAAAAAAAACAAAAAAAACACGATATGACTTGAGAGCAGAATTTCTGCTATCCCCAAAAGCTGGCCCCTCAATGATCAAGCTTCACCTTAAGACTCCAGAAGGTCTCTGATTGTATATTGGGGGGCTCCTGCCTAGCCCTGCCTTTTCCAGTCCCCCTAGGGACTTTGTTGTGCTCTTCAGGCTTTTGTGCATTGCCTCTGGGACAAGATTATGGGCCCCACTGAGATGCCGGACTCAGTGGCTTAGCTGTAACCAGGAGCCAAAGGCCTTAGGTTTCCAATCTCCATTCCCAGTGCAAACTCAAGTCACTGGTTTCTGTTCCCAGAGTATAATGTAAGCAGTAAAGGTGATGGCAGTGTTACGGATGTCCAGTGTGACACGTCTACCACGTGGTCAGGTTGGCGGGTCCAGCTCATGAGGACAGGAAGGAGGAATATGTATGTGGGCATCTTTATTTCCATGAGTCACTTGTTCATTCAACAAATTCACGTTATGTAATGCTGCCTCCAGGGTGTTGTGCTAGGGCAGATGAGGGATGAGTCCTGCACGGTCTTGCCCTTAAGGATTCTCCAGTCTAGTATAATAATATCCAAAAAAAAAAAAAAAACCCACACAGCTAAAGTACAGGAATACAGTGATATGTTCTGTAAGAGAAAGAGAAGCAAAGAGGTATCTGACTATGAGTTTGAGCCCCAAGTTATTGGAGGGATTTGCCTAACCATACCCGAAATATCCCTGTATATTTGCCTTATTAGGAACAAAGGGCTTTTTTCTCTTGATCGAATCCCATTTAGAGGTTAAGTTCGTGTGACCAGAATATTAGGTGCTATTCTGTTCTAAATTTGTAATTCTCAGAATCTGCCGGGGGAGGACATGTACTTCTCTGGGTTCTGAAAACAGCTCAAAGAATGGAGAAAATAGACCCAGTTTGGAGATGACTTCTCGTTGGTTCCTGGAACTTTTTGCCTTTATTTAAAAACAGCATGTTCAATGCAAGTTCTCTCTATCAAAAAGGCCTTTGGGATTTGAAAGCTTTTCTGGAAATAAATGCCTGTTAGGGTCTAAGTGCTTTTCCACCAGAATGCTAGGAAGGGAAGATCATAGTCACAAAGTCTTAGAACAGAGGCAGATATTGTTTTGTTTTCTTTTAGTGAAAATGCCTCAGACCTGCTCCCCAAGTTCTGTTCGTTTCTGTCAGCTTTTTGCTGGACTTTTGTTTTGATAAGGGACACGAAAGTACATCCTTCCCTCTCGGTCATTAAAGTCTTAGCACTTGGGTCAGTTGTGGAAACACTTCTGTGCTACACAAAGTCTTCTAAACAAAACAGTCCACGCCCTGGCTCCGGGCTGGGGACCGTGTCAGATTCATGGAACGTGTGGCACCGTGCTCAGGCAGGGGAGCAAGGGGTCAGAATGCACAAAACAGGCAGGATGAAATCACCAACCCCGTGCCGTGCCCTGCAGGGAGGTGGGGAGAGCAAGAGCCCTCCCTGCCTGTCTGGCAACTCGCACAGTCCTGGGGCTCACCCCACGCACTCGGTGCTAGTCACTGCTGTGTGTTTACATGAGTAATGGAGCTGCCGGGGGAGGGGAGTTGTAAGCAGAGCGCCCAGCCTCTCAGCCCGCATTCGGAGGGACGCTGACAGCCGCACCGAGTCGGGACTTCCAGGGATGTGGCCGGGCAGCAGTCACATGCCGTAGCTTTCATGAGCACAGACATCAATCAGGCAGATGTTTGTCGACTGGAATGGGTAATCACTACTTTCTCTCTGCTTGATTTGGTTTGCGAGCTTGTTTACCTTTGATAACTTGCAGGCTGGCTTTCTGGGGTGGACTTTCAGCCCCAGCTGTTGTTGGGGGGGAATGAGAGGAGAGAGCTGGGGGTGGTTTGGGAAGGGGAGCCTGAGCCCCCCCTGAGGAGCCGCTTTTTAAACTTTTGCCTCTCTGACGGTAAAGGCAGCTCTGCTCTGCTGAGCTTTGCCAACAGTAAAAAAAAAAAAAAAAAAAAAAACTGTTATCCGGGGTAGAAAATCAAATTAGTGGGATTAATTGTGTTTGTAGAAATGGGGACAATGTAAAATGTCCCGAAACCGCTGGTGAACTGTGTGACCTAAGTAAGATTAACAACAATTAACAGGGTTTGTGTGGTTCAGATTTGACATTGTCTTAATCATCATCCTTTAAGTAATAAAAAGTGTCCGGTACCTTGAAGGTCTGAAAGAAATTGTTTAGGGTATAGGTCGTTTGTTTGGAATGGTTCAAGGGCTGGTTGGTTAGTTGGTTGGTTTTAATTTTGCCTGACTTGGGTGACTGATGAAGTTAAATCCGAAAGCTGATGCCGGACAGTTGTAGCTCTCAATAAACATCAGCCTTTCCCCTACTTTCTGTATAGATCTTTAAAAGGAAGCGAACTGTACTTCAAGGATGAAAAATAACTTTGATTTGTATCTTGTTTACGACTTTTAAAAAGTATGACTCCCCTACCCCCCACCCCCCAGCAGGCTAATCCCGGTGTAATTTTAGGAACTTACTGTAAATAACCCTCAAGATCTTCATAAAATTACATTGAAAAGGAAAAGAGAAGCATGCTGATTTAAATGTATCTGCCAGATTTGTTGAGATTTGACACACACTGGTGGCAGTATGATTAGTAAATACATGTAGTAATATTTTCCAGAGTGTTATTATGAATGCTTCTCTCTATAGCTATCTTCTCTACTTACCTGTATGATAATTTGAGAAAATGCTTATGTCTCCAAGCACTTTCAAAGAGAGATGTTTTCAAATGTTACATTACTATGATACCATAATGGGCTGGCATCTATCACTTAGGTTTCTGAAAACAAGACACAAAACAAAAAACAAAGAATGATCTGGAAGTCTGGTTCAAGGTTGTCTTTCAAAATGCTTCTTCTCTAACAATGGGGAAGGACATTTTTTCTTATCATCATCCTTTAGAGCAAAGGGCTTCATTTTATTTGTATTAATTAGACATTTTAAAGTGTGATAGATGAGCTCTGAGAAACATACACAGAAGTGCATAGTCTACCAAGATGCAGCTTTTCAGAAAGCAAAGAAAAGAAATATAATGAAGGCTGCCACAGATGTGTACATTTCTCTGAAAGCAATTAGAAGGGACCACTGTAGTAAGGTTCTTGGTCTTTAATGAGGAAACCCATGCAAATGAAAATGTATATCAATTGTTCTCCCTTTGTTTTCAGCGCCAAATCTTAAAGGCAGACCACGCAAAAAGAAACCATGCCCACAAAGAAGAGATTCATTCAGTGGTGTTAAGGATTCCAACAATAATTCTGATGGCAAAGCCGTTGTCAAGGTACAGTCATTCACCCCATGGTATTCATTTTGCCGCATCTTTTTATTTTTCCTTTCTGTTCTTTATTTTTCTGCTCTTGTGTGTTGGTGGCAGTTTTCAATTCAGAATTTGACTTTGGTATTCAGAGCTTTTGAAGCTCTGTGCTGTGTTTGTTCCCCCTCCTCCCCTCCCCACTGTTGCTGGGGGGGGGGGTGTAGGCATTTTGATTAGTCAACAGAAAGACTTCCCACCTCCCAGCTTGGCCTGTTGGGTAAAGGACAGATGATTAAGCACCTACGTCACTGAGGCTGAGATTTCATAGTGGGTGACACAATGACATAGTTTACTCTGCTTGTATCAAAAATAGACCAGCTGAACCATCCTCTTTCTAAATGTGTTCATCTAAATGTGTTACAGAGATTAACAGAGGATGAAATTAGAAATGACTAGAATTAATCTTTTTAGTTATGTATTTTTCAAAGTCACCTCTAATGTACATTAGAGTATATTTAAAGATACACAGCAAAATATTTATTTGTATACATAGACCCCAAAGCCATTTATATGCTTTTAAAGATCTCTATTAATGCAGAAGGAAAGTCTAAATTCTAGACTGTTTTTTCAAGGCCCAGGCCCGTTTTGCCTAAGCATTCTTTGGAATCTTGAAAGTGCATGCCTGAAGTATTTAGCACCATGAAGGGTGAGGTATCACTTCATATTTTTAGACTTATCTTTTTGACTTTTGTGGGCTTGGGTCAGATTTCCTTGGTTCCATTTACAGTGCTGAGGTGTTGTTTTTGTGCCAAAGACAGCAATAGTCCCTTTAGGACCTGAATTGAAGACCAGATTTCAGCTGATACCAGTTTCCAGATCCATGAACTAAACTTCTGAAACTAGGAGCATTTTGATTAGTGGTGAATTTAGAAGATTCTGATGTAGGAAAAAAATGAATTTAGTTCTGTGTAGACAATCTACTATTTGTCTGTCTTGTCCACCACCCCCCTCCCAGCCCAGGCTAATGAAGTAAATCCTAGACATTGGTATTCTAAAAATCTCATCTTAAGGTGTGATTGTTTTGCCAGGAAGTTCTGAGGGCTTTTTGGTTATAATTTCCTCAGGATTCTAAGATTCCAAAGGGTTAAAAAGAGATCAACCAATAGAAATGTGTATTTTCCATTTTCTGGCTAAAAACACATCTATCTTTCCCTAAAGTTATTTTTGTTCTACACGTTTAACCTTCTGTAAGTTGACATGGATACCATGAATGACATTTTCTTGCAAGCTGGACGTCTCAGCCCTAGAACCACCTACCTAAGACTTCGGTTTCCCTGATCTTGAAGGGTATCAGCAGGAACAGCTCAATTCCCTACGATGTAGTTTGCAAGTCCCTGCAAGATACTACAGAGCAGGAAGGTTTTAGGACCATAACACTGAGCAGAGCTTTTGCCTACTGTTGGCACCCTGCCCCGCTGGTACTTCTGGGATGCCACCATGTATTTATTCCAGCATATTCTGTACCTGATCCCAGCAGGAGGAAATCTTCTTCCCATGTCATTTGGAGTCCCTACCAAGATATGCCTCTGGGAATTTTACAAAACTCATACAATTCATCTGAAAGGACAGAACCTCCGATGTTTCTCTCCATGGACGGCAGCTTAGAGCTCACACCCAGGCTCACAAAACTGAGAACAGGAGCCTGCTCTACAGATGGGCTATATTTGGTGTTCACTCACTTCTCCTCCTTAGGAGGGAAAGAAGCCTGTTTTCTGAGTGACCCCTTCACCGCCCCCACCCCCCGCCACTGCGCTGCCATTCAGAATCTATGAGATGACTGATCATCCTTCCACTGTTGGTGAATGGGTGAATGTCCTGCTGCAGTCAGCTTCTGGGGACTGGTCTAACGGCTCAGCTCTTGTCAGAGTCTTGGATTATAGGCCTGCCTTGGCTCCTTCCAGCGGGGGGCTGGGAAGACTGCTTCAACTAGAAGAAAGAGATGGGTAGGGATGAAGTGTGACGGTTTATCTGTTGGCACCAAGAGACAAATGTAAAATCCCTGCAGAATGAACAAGCCACATCTGGGATGAAGACAGCCATTAAAAAGGCATTTTGTGTCTTCATGTGGTCTTTTGCCATGAACACTACAGTAGAGATTATAAACCTGTGACCAGCTGATCGTTTACTGAACTGGAAGTGGCATTTTAAGGGACAGTGAGCCGTTTGACTTTATGACCAAGACACGTGTGACTGTGTTGTGTTTTTTTTTTTTCAAAAGTGCCTCGAACAGACGATTTCTAACTATGGATAAGCACCAGCTTCCTGAAGCTCTACAGAGCAAAGCTCTTAGAGTTTTGGACCCACTGGGTTTGTTGTGTTCATGACTGGAAAAAAAGTCAAGTAATTTGCCTGTCACTATCAAAATGTTGCGGTCTCTCAATGAGAACACAAAAACTAGCTTTGCAAGACCCTGTTTTCTGAGGGAGAGAGACTTTCATGGCTTCCCAAAGACAGCAAAAGTGACACGGGGAAGGAAACTACCAGTTCTCTGAAGACATTGTGAATGTGTCCAGCCCAAATCCTACCGTTTTCCTGAGATCGTCTAAAAGGAGCAAATCTGGGCCCAGGCGTGTTCATAGGGTGATCTATGCCAGAGAAATCCTCTTGGCCTACGTCTCTAATGAAAGGCCTGTATTGATAGAAGGCAAATGACTTCTCATATCCTGTAAGCATTTTCCAAAGGCCAGAAGTGTTTAACAGGTGGTTTATATTCTAAAAGGAGCACACAAAAAAGGAAACCATGGTGTGCAATATGTTCATTTAAATCACAAACATACCTTTCAATATTTCATAAATGTGATACTTATATTATTTTCAATTTTTTCCCTCTCATTTGGTCCTGGGAACGACCCACGTGGGTGCTCGTTCTTGCTTTCCTGAGGAAGAAACTGACCAAACCAAAATTAGAACTCTTAGCTTTTTTGCTGCTGGCTCAGCACATCTTGTTGCCCCAGTTGAAGGCCGGATTAGTTATAACTCACTCCCGTGGAAGGATATGGTTAATATCAAATAGGTTGGTGGTTCATTGAAAACATTAAATGTTTAGTCTTTAGTTAGTACTTTCTCAATCATTTTGGAATCCCCAAAGCTCTTAGTGAACTCAACAGGTGCATGGTGTTCAGGTCAGGAAAAACAGACCTAATCGTTAACCATCACTCTCAAAAGGTTGGGCTTTCTAAGGTCAACGTGAAGACTGGCTCCCATTTCCATTAACACCTGCACTATGATAATTCAGTAGAATGAAATGCTGAGAATGTTTTGGATAAATGTAAAAAAACTTTAGAAAGGAATTTGACTTGATTCATAGCCTAAAGAGCTCATTTATATTAACTAGAAAAAAATGTATGAAACTAGTACAAGAAAGGAAGCCACCGTTCACCTGTTCACTTCTTACCGAGTACCTGGCCTCCCCAGGAACAGCATGCTGGGAGGCCCACTGAGATTCAGGATGGAGTTCAGTAGGTGGCAGCCTGGCTTTACTCTGGGCCTTTGCAATGAAGCAGGGAGTGGGAATTACTTTGGGTCTGGTTTGTGCATCTCCTCTGTGCTTTCCTTCTGTTTCTAGGTGTTTCTACACAGGTGAGGCAGAGGGTTAAGTGACTGTCTAGACACTGAGGAGCAAGCGTTATACTCTTGACAGTGGTGCATCTGACCTAATGATATGAGTAATTGGCCCATTGTCACTGCAGATTTAAGACTCCATCTGATTAATACACAAACCTTAGATCTACTCCTTCTTATATAAGATTGGGATTTGGGGTAGGGCAAACATGAGTTCTAAACCCAGAGGTCTGATGGCCTCACTGAGCTTCCATTTCCTTGACCGTAAAATGGGGCTAAATATCTCCCTTTTACAATTCTTAAGAACATGAAGGCGGAATATGTGAAGCCCACCCAGCACTGTATCTGGCTCATGGTAGGAGCTCAGTTTATAATGATTTCCTTCCCTTTGCTCAATACACAGTTGCAGGAATAGAGCTCATATATACTTTGGAAACCACCTAGTTTTATCTTTTACTTTTCATTTCATAAATCACATTGCTAAGCAGTAGGTTTCACAATGCCTAGTAGTAAGACAGGCTTTTTAATTGAAGTTTGTTTTGACTACCAATTTAATATTTTTATCGAGAGTGTCAGTAAAGTGTAGTGTTTAAAGCCATAAGCCCTAAAGTGAATCTACCTGGGTTCAAGTGCCAAATTCACCACTTACCAACGTGTACACGATCTTGTGATCTTGTAGATGATGCTCATCGTATCTACCTCAGTTTCTTTATTTCTAATATGAGAATAAGAACCACCTTATGAGGGTTGCGAGTATGAAATGAAATAATACCTAAACACTGCTTGGAATAGAGCCTGGCTGCCCAGTAAACACTCAGACAAGGGCGGGAAGCAATACAGATTAAAACTGGAGTGATTTTATGATTTTAATAAGCCAATAAATTAAAGATTTCATCAGAACTTTAGACCTAACAGCCTAAAATTTGGCGGTGAAAAATTATGACAACATAAAGTTTCATAGGATGTTCGCCTTCACATAATATTACAAAGTACTCAAGTTTGAAAATATCGTGAGGAAAAATTCTACCTGGAAGAAAACGTTTTCATCCCATTTCCACAGCCCCTTAAAAATTAAAATCTTATCTAGAGGACCCATTGAATGAGTTGCACAGAAGTTTTATTTTTCCAGGACTAGTCTAAAGACATTAAACTAGTGTGTTCACTTGAGAGAACAAGCAAGGAAAAAAAAAAAAAAAACCATACAGAGAAAACACTTCCCTTTAATAAATAAACATAGTCTTTTTTTTTTATTTTTGTGCTGGGGTGGGAGGCTCTGTAGGGAAAGGAAGAGTTCAAAATTCTGAAATGGACAATGTTGTAGGTGTGAGGGGCATTTTTATTCATAACATTTCCCTAGCACTTGCCCTCTTCTCTCCCGATGTTAACTGTGGAGACGTAAAGAATATTGGAATGTACACATTCCCCATGGGCACACTTGAACTCCAAGTCTGACCCTTTGTACTTCCCCCTTTTACAATTAAAATAGCTCAGCAACTTAGTGTTATATTTAACAACCATCAAAGGCCTCTTGTAGAACATGGCAGTGAGGAGGGAACATTAGGTTAGCTACTCGATAATGCCAAGTTCCCTATCTGCTTGTGGTGTGGAAGGAAGAACATCTGGAGCATTTGCCGCCGCTTATTTTTTAATTGTGGAACTTTATGCGATGCTTTCTCTTCTTGGGTTTTGAGCTGACCTCTGCTCTTTTCTTTGGTGGCAAGTTAGCATCTCCGATTATGTTGTCAGAGCAGACTGAAAGGCAAGAGGCCCTCATTAAAGAGTGGGCCCTTTTGTTCCCTACAGAGGGTGGATCCCGGCGTCACCTTGGGTGACAAAGAGCAGAGACCTTGCTGGGATTCTTGATGCCAGCTGGCATTGACTTGTTTTTCCAGGTTGCTGGACACAGTGGCAACGAGATAAGTTTACTATAAAGAAATAAACTTGCCTTTCATTTGAATACAAAGTATAAAATATGGGACTGTTTATTTAAGAAGGCAGGGTTTCTTCAAGGTTCCCCTTAGGAAAATAAAATGTATATAAAGGCAGAAGAATGTTCCTACCAGGTACAAATGCTATTTTCTACTTTCACATCAACATATTTATATAAGGAGCCTAAAAGAAGCTGGTATAGTTCGGCAAAGTGTGGCCAGCTGGCCACCTGTTTTGGTCAATAAAGTTTTATTAGAACACAGCCACACCCATTTGCTTACATATTGCCTACGACTGCTGTCCTGCTAAAGCTGAGTAGTTGCCACAAAGACTGTATGGCCCCCCAAGCCTACAATATTTAGTATGTAGCCCTTTACAGAGATTTGCCATCCCCTGATCTAAGACAGTTCACCTTCAGTGGTGCCTCTAAAAAGCTATTAAAAGCAGGGATGATTTACTGTTTCACCCTTCCCACTCAGTGAAGAGTGTCACTATCTCTGTCACTAGCGATGTCTTTGTGAGCGTTCCGGGGCTGCGCCTGGTCTGATATGGCATATTTTCCTTTTTCCAGGTGAAATGTGAGGCCAGGTCAGCCTTGGCCAAGCCGAAGAATAACCATAGTAACTGTAAAAAAGTCTCCAATGAAGAAAAACCAAAGCTTGCGATTGGTGAGGAGTGCAGGGCAGATGAGCAGGCCTTCTTGGTGGCACTTTATAAATACATGAAAGAAAGGAAAACGCCGATAGAACGAATACCCTATTTAGGTTTTAAACAGAGTGAGTATACTTGTTTTCATTTCTGAAATATCAAAACTGCTCAGATTCTTTGAATTGGGAAAAAAAAATAATTTTGACTCAGGATTGTGTTGCAATCCTAATCTGGGGATAGTGCTCTCTGTTTATACTAAATCTACAAATGGTCCCAGCCAAGAATTTTTTTCCCTGCCTCTTTCCGTTACGTTGTTCCCTTCTGGGACAGTTGCAGTAAGATATTTATAGGCTTGAATCCACTGATTATGACTGGAAATAGACATGTTGAAAGTTTCTCATTTTCTGTTTTGTCAATCTTGAGTGTCTGTAACGCCTTTCTTGTGAGATAATAATATGACGTAACTTTATCAGGCACAGATGTCGCCCGTTGGAAAAAAAAAACCAGCTTTTAAGGGGAGGACATTTAAAGACGGACAAAACAACCACAAAGAGAAAACACATTTCCTAAAGCCCCAAATCTGTTAAAAGATAACAAAAAAATCTCACTTCAGAGGAAACAAGAAATACACAGATTTTTGTACAGAGGGGCCTAATTTTGAATGACTTTGACACGTACATTTGAGTGTAAATGTCATTTTATATTTGTGAGTAGAACAGGGAACTCATAGCTGGGCGGAATTCCATATTAAAAGAGAAAAAAAAAATCCAGATCTTGCCTTGATTTTGCAACTGAACATATATTTTGCCTCTGTCTGGATTTAGTGGTGCACAAAGCGATGAGCCCCTGGCTTGAAATAGTATTTTCTCCAAACGTATCTTCCTAGATTAAAACCATGTGTCATTTTGATGAAGAATGTCAAACCTGTATGTTTTACATAACAATTTACATACCTAATAGCAATTGGCACTGATTGCAAGAGAACACTCGCAGCCATTATAAACTTATATAACTACGAATGATTACAATGTTTGTCTGAAAACTGGTTGCTTGAAATAGAAGTAAAATTAATGTACTATGAACAGCTTTGTTGCATTATGCATTGGTTCAGATTAAATCAAGGCCGAGGCAGGGCTCTTGATAGCTTTGAAATAGTGCAAGGTTCAATGAGGCTTTGCGAACATGTTGTGTCAAAGAGCCTTTTTTAAAAAAAGAAAAAAAAATCATTTTATTCTTCATTTCCCTTACCAAGGAATCACTTGAAGTTCAATTTTCCCCCCTTGTAAAAGAAGCCAACCCATAGCAGCCCCATTCCGTGGTATTTGGCATAAATGAACAGGGTTGCTAGCAATTTGGCATAGTTGTTTAACAGCATAAACATGTGCAAGCCCTGCAAAGAGAAATCTGCTTGAAAAAAATATATATTTACAACATCACACAGACCAGTTAGGGGACTAAGTGGGCTCATGACTCAATTCCTCTCTGAATGAATGTCTTCCTTCCCTTTGATCTGCTGTATCACTGCTGCCTTGCATGTGAAATATTTATCTTCCTACTCATTGTAAGGCACTCTGTGTTAGTGAAATATGGTATGAGCCTTTGATATAGTGTTGCCATCAGACATCCTATTAAGAAAGTAATCATATATTAAAGTGGCTGTTATTTATTGATTATGGAGAGTTCTTATCTGAGGGGAGCTTTTTATATTACCATTTAATCGATGGCTTCTTTCTAAAGGTTGAACAAGACCAACTTCAATTTTGAAATCCCACAATTTTTCCCAAAGACACTCTACTTTAGCTTCTCTTCCTCTGCTGATGGCAACAGGACTAAACCTTTGTTATCCCTTGTCCTAAAAGTAGACCATTTTCATGGCTGTGTAACTGTTTCTTAAGAAATATTTTAAGTGGTAATAATAGACCTTGTTGTTGAATGCCCTTGGGCAAATTATTTCCTAAGAACTTAGCTCTCTGGGGTACTTTAGTATTTCTTTTTTTTTTTCTCTTTCTCATTGAAAAAAAAAAACAAAAACAAAATGTTTTAATTGACATTTCTTGGAAATATGTTAATGCAATGCTTATCTAAATACTTATTGTCCCTCTAACAGTTAACCTTTGGACTATGTTTCAAGCTGCTCAAAAACTGGGAGGATATGAAACAGTAAGTGTTTAAGCAACTTAAATGAAATAATTTTGCAATCTAACTTTCCCCCTGTCTTTGACCAAAAAGGAGAAAATGCAAAAAGCAAACCGTCATTGACTGCCTTTTCAAATGGCTCTACACTTTTGGGGGTTTATTGGGCCACTTTTGGAAACAGTCCCAATTAGTTCCAGGTTTGGCAAAATTGTAAACTTGTCGTAAAAACTACAAGTGGAAAACATATGTAACTCTCCCCTGTCAGGGAAATTAGTTGGGTCTGTAATTTTTTCCCATGTTGAGAAAGGGCTATTATTGTACAATAAGCCAAGATTGCATAAAAGAAATTTCCCTTGGCAATGTACCTGACATCTGTTCATGTCTAATATGGGAAATGTATTAAAGGCTTTCAAAAGTAATCAGTATTGGCCATTAAGGAATAGAATGCAGCAGAATCTCTTCTCATTCTAGGGCAAAGAAGCTTTATTAGACAAGGGTCAGTGCTGCATAAACAGGAAGTTATCAAACTTATTCAGAACAGGCTCTGACAGTCTTTATCAGCTAATTCTTACTGACAGGAATGGGTTATTTTTAGCCCACAGGAAAATTTGATGGCCACGGATTTTTACAGCATGTATTTTGAACCAATGAAATGTTAGAGCAACAAACTGAGATTAAAATCTTGAAATAAGAAGAAAGAGCTGCGTTAGTACAGCACACAGAGATGACATCTATACTAAAATCAATTGACATAGGAAGATGTCGTCACTGGAAATATTTTCCGCTCCACACAATGATCAGATTAAGTTGTGTCGTTTCTTCTGCAATTGAATAAGAAATTATTTTTTCTTTCCTTAAGAAGTAATCTGGGATATCTCTGAACCATAGTAAAATGACAGTGAAAGACACAAAATCAAGAAAATGAAATTCATTTTAGACCAAACGTAATAACCAGTGTTTCTGGCCAGATAAAACATATTGTTCCAAAAACTAATATAATGGTTTAATGTCAGGGGCTTGGGATGGGAAAAGAAGAGAAGCATTATGTGATTCAGATAATCTGGTATTTATTGTAGAGATACCTGCCATGAATTCTGACTAAAAATCCTTTGATGTGAATATATGTGTATGTAATATGTTTATTTAATGTATGGAGTATATATATATGTGTGTGTGTTTATAAAGAAATATAATACATGCACTACAGATAAAATGTGCCTTTCATAGACATGAATTTATTTGAAATATTTGTTTTATCAAATGCCCTGTGTGAAAATACTGTAATTTTTTACTTGGTTGAATCTGTTGATAGGAATAGGATTTGGAATCCTTTGCCACTGCAGCTCATAGTTTTACAAAATCTTGAGCTAATTATAGCTTTCATCCATGTGAAATAGATGATAACTTATTCAGGGGTTAGTCTTATAAATTCAAGAGTCAGATCCCATAAACTTAGACTTTTAAGTCTAGCTTTTAATGTTAAGAATAAGAATACACGTTTTAATATGAACTGTCACTACAGATAGTTACATATATTGCACAATATTTTGAAATGTCTTTTTAAACTCAGGAACTTTTTTTATTCACTGATAAGGGAGAGTGCCAGCACATTTCACAGAATCAGTTTTTCCTGCTTTTGTATCTTCTGTATCTTCACAAAGATGTTTTTCTCCCCCATGCAACAGCAAGTTGGTGTAGAACATACAGAAGAAACTTCTGATAAGTTTCAAGGCGTTTGCAGTACCCTTTGAACAAACAGTATTTATTCTTTTGTAGAATGAACGAATGTGACCACATAGTTACTGAATATCTTATGTGTACAAGGCATTGTGTTACAGACACCGTGGGAGATGAAAAAATATCTAGGCCAGTGATTTCAGTCCTTATGATGCTTACCACTCAGGAGAGGCAGTAATAATAATTATAAGACAAGGTGGAAAAGATCGGTGCCCTGCGCAGGTGAGATACTTCCCCATGTAGAGTTGAAGGAAGAGAGGCTTGCTGGCTCTAATGCCATTTGAGCAGAATTTTAAGGAATGGATGGGATTTAGACAACGAATGGCCATGCCCTCCAGAAAGAGAGAATGAAGCAAGTAAGAGAAAAAAAAAATTGGAAATTGGAGGTGGAATAAAGTTGAGCATAGAGAGTTTGGGTAACTTAATATAGAGTGACTAGGTGGCTTGGACAAGCAGCCCTGAGGGGGAGTCTTCAGAGAGAAGGATGGAGAGAAGATGTAGCCAAGTAAGGGAGGACTTCCAAGTGCTAGGCCCTGGATGCTAGGTTCCCAGGTGCTAGGCTCCTAGATGCTAGGCCCCAGGGTTATTCAGAAGGTTGGTATGGGGGAGGAGGGGTGGCATGGAAAGTTGTTGACTCCTGTCTGGTGATTAGAGTCACTCTTCTCTTTCAGGTACTGTGGGGTCCACCTTCATAAAGGGAAATTTATGTCCTGCTTTTAGGCAGATAGAGGGAAGGCAGAGAATTCTTCCTACATCTGTTAATTCTTGGTTGGCTTCATCTCAAAATAATCCTTATGCCAACATGGCATATTTTGGGGGTGGTGGTGGCAGATTCTGATCTTCTTCACTGGGGTCGGGGAATATGGAAGACTAGATTGGCATATGCCTTCCAGAATTTTGGAAGAAATTTCTCTTTCCTTTTTTCCTTCCTTCCTTCTCTCCCTTTTCTTTTCTTACTTTCTTTTCTTTTTTTTCTTCCTTTCTTTTGTTTCATGCTATTGGCCTTGTAGACACTTAAGTTTCCCACTACCATTCTACATTTAAGCTTTTGAACCACCTAAGTATAGAATACATTTTTTCTTGCATATTTTGACTAATAAAACTGTGTGATGTTCAGTGAGCTTTCAATTTTGAAGTCAGTCCAGGAGATGTATGAATAGTATCCAAAGTCTGATGACTTAAGCTGTCATCACAGTGTTGCTAGAAGACACTTATCTCTGAGATTATCTGATGTCAGAAACAAGTGTGGACTTGTAGTCATTTAAAGCTAAAAAGAGATCTTAGAGTCTTCTAGATCAGTGGCTCCCAAAGGCTACTTGGGAACTGGGGCTTAAGTTTTCATTGAGGAACTTCAAAGTATAAGTAGTTGTCTAGACCCCCAACCTCAAGCTATAAACTCTTCAATGGGATCTGGGCCTGAGAACCAGAGAATCCTTTTCTTTTAAGCTCCTGCAGGTGATGTTAATTGAAAGCCAGTGATAACAGTGACTATTAACACTTAGCTTACTGTTCCCATGGCTTATAGCCTCAAAATGTGGCCCCCATCTAGGTCAAATATCGAAGATTAGAAAGTTGTCTTCATGCTATTAGTATATAAACATGTGAGAATACTAACATTTCCTCTGCTCAAGAGCAGCACAACATTTCTGATGAGTATTTTTCCATTCAGTAAAGTGATAGTCTAAGTTGGGCCTCAGTAAGCTATTTTCATTTTGAATGAGGGGAAGTATAGTGCTCTGACGTTTTTATTCTTTCTGAATTGGCCTTTGTGCAAAAATAAAGGATTCTTGCTCTGCTCCATTCCATACTCTCATTTCACAAATGAGAAAACTGGGCCACAGGGAGATGGAATGAGTTGCATGGGACCCTCGTGGCTTTCTTCACATTCTGACTTGGTGAGGATTTGGTGCACAATTACCTCACTCTCCATAGCATCACTGGGAGGAGAGAGATTTATAAGTGACCATTCTTTGTGCCTTCCAACTCCAGCAATCTCTCAGGTATCCACAGTGTTTTCTATAGACTTTGGGTGATGTTTTGGAAAAGGGATCCAATAACCCACTTTCATTAGTAGCATCTTTCCGTCTGTTCTTCGCACCTAACATGAGGCTTACCCAGATATACTAATTGCTAGATGAGATTTTTATCTGATTCTTAAATATATATATATATATATATATATATATATATATATATATATATATATATATGGAGATAGGTTAAGAAGACTGGATAGTATAAATATTCAATAATAGTAAGAAACTGCAAGTGTAAAATTTGTAGATGCATCATTTCTGCTAAAAACTTGTGATTGGATAAAGACATCTCTCTGGAATCTTTTCTGGTTATAAAAAGAGGCCATCTTAATTGGCTTGTTTTTGTTTGTGGTTATAAACTATTCCAAACCTTCTGGTTTGAATTGTGGATTATGGATTATTTCATTCCAGTCCTCCATAACCCTCAAATTGAATTTGAGGAAAAAAAAAAAATGGAGCAGAAATTTTATTTTAAGCCTTTATAGCATTTGACTAATGGCTATACACAGTTCTCTCAGTCTCCTCTGCCTTTGCTGCAAATGTATAGAGTGTCTCTTCATCCTTAGGTTTAGAGATCATAAATATATTGAATGGATTTGATTTCCTAAAAAACAATATTCTGGCATTTGGATTGGTTGGCAGTGAAGGACCCTTCCTTTGCAGTGTACCCAACTTTTCCTTCCAAACATGTTAGAGTATGGATCACCTACAGTTGAAGAGGCAGAACTGGATTAAGTTTTGCTGATGAGCTAAAGAAGCCTTCTCTTCAGTGTCTGGTGAAGCAATTAATGCTAGAGGAGCAGCTTGGGGTATTACCAGGATGCAGCATATGCAAGGTGGTTTGCTAAAGTGATTTCCATTTGGCTGACCATTTGATGGCAAGCCAGAGGCAATATTTGGAGAGAAGGTAAAGTAGGGAAATGGGTCTTGAGTAAGTCTCATCCTTGAGGCAGAAAACGATGCACAGTGGTGCCTTCTAAGAATGTCAGTTTGCAGTCCCTCCTCTCCCCACCGCCAAACAAGACTATTATTTTCCATCTGGAAGAAGAAGTCACTTTTCTTGCTGGAAGGATTAGGCTTTGACATCAAATTCTGGCTTTGACATCATTTCCAAGACATCCTCTGAATCTAACCCTCATTCTCTGGACAGACAAAGCCTCTTGCTTAAATTCAAAATTCTCAAAGCCAAAGATGATGTCATGTAGTTTTGAAAGGCTCCAGTTCCTGGAGTACTACCAGGAAAAAAAAAGTCATCTTCCTTGAATTCAGTCCGCCCTCAAGGTGTCCTGAGAAAGAGGCTGATTCTCAGACCAGCCGGGCAACACTGCTCACAGGCAAACTCTTCTCTTGACTTCATATTTCCAACACATCCTTAAACCATTGGAAGAACTTAAGTCCAAAAATATTTCTGATTACTATTTCTTCACCAGCCCACAAAAGTACCAGGATTATGTCATTCCTGATTTCTCAAACGTAGAGAAATCCTGGTCCAAGAGCATGTCTTGGGTTAAAATAGTGGTTTTCCAAATTTTTTTTAAAGTGACAGTATTATTTTCATCAAATAAAATTGTGTAAGGGAGAGATTCCTTTTCTACTCACTAGATTTTTTTCTTGGCAGAGATTGGCAGTGCGTGAGGAGTTAGTTTCAGGCTAACTTTAAAACACCACCTGGGTTCTAAAGAGCAGTTTGGAAACCACTATATTGATAAGCAATGAAAACCGTATGAACATAATAGATGTTCACAGAGCTCATTGGGTCTTACCTACACTAGGGAAAGACATTAACTTGAGTGCCTTCAAAGCCAGATTAAGTCTCACATGCACCCAGATTGGTTTATTTTACCTGGGTATGTTCTGCTCAATTTTTCATCGTGCTTTATGATTAATTGTATGGGGTTATGACTCCTGCTAAATTATAAACACTCGAAAGCACTAACATTTCTTTCTTTTCATCATATCTCACCATCTCCATCCCCTAATTTTACCCCTGTTCCTCTGTACCTACCGGCACAGTGCCCTAAAATGGTAAGCAGCGGTAGACGGCCATATCATGAATCCCTGTCGTCTTAAATGAGGACCTTGAAGGGGAGACAGGGGAAACATGACCCAGGAGAAATCACTGCTCGGATGAATTTGGCCGTCTTCTTTAGGAAACAGAGAGCTAGAAGTTGTGTGTTCCCTTAAAAGCCTAATCTAATAGAAGACCAGGTTGAAACGGGAACACAACCAGGAGGCCTAAGGCCTAGTGAGAGAGTTGATCACACTAGCCCCTTCGCTAGATCAAATTTTCTAGCTGAATGGGACTGGGGACTGAAAACTGGGAGGCCAGACATTGGTTTTACCATGGATGGAATTCCAAAGCTAACACACATCCAGAGAGGACCTTGGACAAGAGAATAAAAACCCTAAGCAAATACACAATTAAACACAAACAAAACATCTTAATACAGGAGGCAGATTTACACGAAGCCCAGTAGATGGGCCTGGAAAAGTTCTCACACCCTTGCCTCTTCCCTGATGGGGCTCTGAGCCCCCTTGTGGGTTTTGACGAGAGGGGGAGAATTTGGACATTTCTAGATCTAGAGTCCATAGTTAGTATTCAAATTAACAGTACACCTAGAGGCAAAAAAAAAAAAAAAAAAAGAAAAGAAAAGAAAAGTGTGCCCAGAAGAACTGTGCACTTAAAAGCATTTAACTGTTGGGAAGAGCACATTTTATGACTTTTCCTGTGGAAAGAAAATATATCAAAATGGCCTGATTCACACAGGCGGGCCAGTGGAAGCTAGGTAAACAGAGGAAGCGCTTCCTCGAAGGCCCAGCCCACTGTTCACTCCACGCGAACCCTTGCTGGTAAAAAATGTGTTGAAACACCAGAGCTTGCTAGCCAGGGGGCTCACCAGCCCTTTGGGAAACTGCACACACATGACTTATTAACGCCCATGCTTGCTGCCGGCTTCCCACGGCCACAGTTTCAAACCTGGTGTGAGGTAGACTTTTACCCCCTTTTGATAATGCATTATTTATTCTTAAGCAGTCTTGTCATTTCTGCGATAGGTGAGTGTTTAATAGGGCATTCCCTCGCCTGGATGGAGGGGGGCGTGGGCAGTTTTGCATATTAAATGTCCCTGTCAGCAGTGGCTCTCTCCTGCTCATTGCATTTTTCGCAGTCTGTATTATTTTGCTTGCATGTTTGCTCACATGTTCATTTTGGGTTTCCCCCACTAGAATGCAGTCGTCTCGGGAGTTGGTTCTGGTTTTCATTGTTGCATCCGAGCTGCCGTGCTTGTTAGCACAGTGTCTAACAATAGATTCAATATCTATTCAATGGTTTTTTCAGTGAATTAATAGGTGAGTGCGGAGTGGATGGATTTTGATATAATTGAGACTTATCTGCGGCTCAGTGATGGACATGATATAGAACATCTGTTCTAACTAGAGACACAAGTGGTCAGGGTGGAAGAAACCAGGATTTTACTTCATGCTTTAAGAGTAAAATCTCAGAGCACTGTTAACCCAACCTACCCCCTTAGAGTCTTGCTGTTCTCTTAGCTATAGTTCCCTATGGAGAGAGACCCACAGCTAAAGTTTGAGAACTCGTAGCAGGAGCTGTGATTCCCACAGTCATCTGCTTCATTTTAGGAAAAGGGCGCCCAGAGTTCTAGCTACAAACATGGGCTATTCATCAGGTCATGCTGATGTGGAGGCTGCTTTGATGTAGTGGAAAGAAGTCTGCTCTTAGGACCCTAAGACAACCAGTGTGGGTCCTGGTTTTGACACTCTTGCTGTGTGTCATTGGGCAAGCGTGCAACCTCTCTGAGTCTCATCTGTGAATGAGATTCCTATAACCTGCCTCACAGGCTATGGGAGGATTAAATGATATCATGGACATGAAAGTCCTTTATAAAATATACAATACAGTGCACACAAGAGGTGCAAGGATGACAAATGAGGACACACATAGGCGGTTTTCTGGCCCTGTCCTAGGGGCTGTGCTCCCCGGGGCTGGCACACCTTATCCGAGCAAGAGGAACAGGGAGGTGTGTTTCAAGGCGTCTCGGTATCCTCAGGGCTTTGAAGAAACAATGTAGACTCTTGTAAGGAGATCCTGTTTCTTCTTCCTTGATATATAGGCCTTGAATAAATCATTTGAATCATTTAAAAGTTAGATTGCAATTAAATATAAAATAATTATCCAAATATGTATTTTGAGTGTTTTGGAAGAGGTTTGAAACCATTGGTTATAATCTAAGCCAAGTCATCAATAAGGAGGACTTTATTTCCAGTGATACCTGCTAGTAGACACAAGAGGTGGTTTTCTCTAATGAGAACTATTGAAACCAATCGGTTCAAGAATGCTTCGTGGGAAATCTAACAATGCAAAACTAACATTGTCTCAGGCCCTACTTGGGCCTGTTGAGAAGGATTTATGGAAATTAAGGGGTTCTTTTTATTTGAAATGGAAAAGGTACCATTTACCCTATAATATTTAACCACCGTCTCCTCCTCCTTGGATTACAATTACAGAGCCTGGCTTGCAAGTTGAGTTTTTTTTTCCCCCTGATTGCTGCTTTTAGCTCCTGAGTGAACTCCATTGGCAGCTCTGTGGGTATTTTTCAAAAGAAGCCTCCTGCTCTGATTGTATTAAGTGCCACTGACACCTTTGCTATGCCCTGTCCCCTACACATTCCAATAGCAGGGTTTTTCGTAACCCTGCTCAGAAGTGTTCACAAGGACCTCCGAACTTGTTCTGTCTTCCTAATTTCAAGGAAACAGTAGACTTGCTTGGATGTAGTAAATGATGTGATTTCCCCAAATTAATCATCTGCCAGATCTTGCATCTGTTATTTTGTAAAAATCTTAATTTATGTACAAAAATAAAATTAAAGAAAAAATAAAACGAGACCATAGTGTGCAGCTCAGTATATTGCAAGCTGTTTGTTTTTATTCACTCACTAATATACATAACTAGCATTTTTAAACTTTGGAATTCATTAGTTTTCCTAGGATTTGATCAATATCCCATTTTCCTGACCTAAGTGAATGAAAATAAACAGCTTTCAAGATACACAGTTTCAGACTTTGGTTTTGTTTTGGTGGTTAGAGAAGCTGGCATAAAAATATAGCCCGGAATGACTGTAAGTTCCACAACCAACTTGATGGTTTAAATTAATCTGTGTAGCAAATTTATTTCGTCTTTAAAATAGGCAACGCATCGCATGATTCAAAAATCAGGAGATACAAAAGCAGGTTTGGTGAAAAGTCTTTGTTTTTGCCCATGTATCCTGCCACCCATTTCCACGTGCCTCAGGCAACCAATGTTAATTTTGATTCATGTAAACCAGGAACTAAGATATAATGTAGCTAAAATCAAAATTTTATTTTGATACTTTGTATCATATGACATAAAGGAGCAGGGTATGAGTTTGAGACCACGGCAGATACCTACATGAATATCTAGGGAGGTGCCTTAAATGAAATGCACCGAGGGTGACAAAACATAGATCCAAAAGTAGAATTCCATTTTTATTGTAAAGAAAAGTGCTGAAAGTGAGATCTTGCTATAATAAAACCGTAAGTCTCCCTATATACTCATTTGGACTTCTCTGTTTCTGGGTTTCCAGAACAGACTGTTCTCCTCTGAATGTTGCATATGTATTGAAGCCTGGGACTGTGAATCTCTTGTGATGCAAGATTGAATTTCCCATTGCCGTTTTTTCAGATAACAGCCCGCCGTCAATGGAAACATATTTATGATGAATTAGGCGGTAATCCTGGGAGCACCAGCGCCGCCACTTGTACCCGCAGACATTATGAAAGGTAAGAAACCATTTGTTGGAAAGTCCTTGCATAATTAAAAGTATGTTCATTGGAAGGAGCTTCTGGTCAAGGATAAGACAAAAGGAAGTTTGAAGGACTTTTTGGGAAACAGAAAATATTCCTCTGGCATTTTGCTGTGCATACCACCTTGTGATTTTTCAGGGAACATGGCCTTCTCTGGTTACAGGAGCTAAAATTAGATGTTCTTTAGTTTGGTTTTATCCTGTGGCCACCTGCCTGACAATGCACCCCCCTCCCCCAAAGGTAGATTACTCAGTATGTTCTTTGCAGGTTCTTTTACTACGAGAACCTTTAGCTTCCTGGAAAACACAGATCTGCAATGTTACTGGGAGCTTGCCGTGGAACTGTTATTAACATTGAAAAGTAAAACATTTTTATAATAAGAGAAATGGCCTCAGATTAGATGTTGTTTTTTTTTTTTGTTTGTTTGTTTTTTTCTATTTTGGTATTTTTCTTCTTCAGCTATACTTTTGACCTAGGAAATCTTGCCAAGCTCTGTGTGGCTTAGTTTTCTAACACTTTCCGCCTATTTCAGAAAAGTGAAGATAATGCAAGATAAGAAGTAATGCAAAATTAGCCTACTGTGGAGGTTGTATCCGCAGTAGATTTCCCCTTTGCATAAGGACTGTGTTGTCCACAACACTGAAGACCAGTAGCAAATTCATGCATTATCCTTCCTCTGTGATCCAAGCCCCTACCGAATTTGTTTAGGTCATGACAACTTCCTTATAACTGGTACTTCCCTTTGGGTCTTATATAAGCATCCTCGGGCAATACCATTTAACACATCAATTCTCAGTCCTGGTTCTTTTGTTCAGTTGTGACTTGTATCTGTACTACATTTAACTCAGCCTCTTCAGTATGACCATTCAATAAAACTTAAAATGTTTTTGTAAGAATAATCAGAGTACCTTGAGTTGGGTTTAGTACAACATGAAGAATTCCCACCAAGTATTCCCGAGAGATTGCCTTACTTGGCAGCGTAGTAATCCAGAAGGATTTTAAAAAATTGATAAAGACATTCAAATTATTACTCTTTATAATACTGTTTTTCAGTACAGTACATTAGTTTTTTAAATGTGAGTGTTACTTCTCTCAATATTTAATACGAAAGCTCACACATTCTCACTGTACATAAAAGGTATGCCACTAATGTGCTGGTACGAAATAACATTGGTACCTCAGGTGAGTGTTCTGAAAATAACATCTAAGGTTACCATAGTTTCCTTGTTTTTGACTTATGAGTCAAGGCTTCCGTCAGAACATTTTTATTAGAAACACCAGCTCCACTTTCAAATAGCTGCTGTTCTGAGAGTGGACATCCCTTTCCTGCATGTGCAAATGTTCTCAATACCTGAACCATGAAATTCAAAGGATCAGACAGCAGTTAAAATTTGAAAAAGGATGGCAGGGCATGGTGGCTCACACCTGTAATTGCAACACTTTGGGAAGCTGAGGCAGGAGGATCACTTGCAGCCAGGAGTTCAAGACCAGCCTGGGCCACATAGCAAGACCCCATCTCTAAAAAAAATGTTTTAAAAATTAGCAGTGTGTGGTGGCATGTTTCTGTAGTCCTAGCTAATTGGGGGGCTGGAGTGGGAGGATCCCTTGAGCCCAGGAGTTTGAGGTTACAGTGAGCTGTGATCACACCACTATACTCCAGCCTGGTTGAGCAACAGAGTGAAACCTTGTCTCTAGAACAAGAAAGAAAGGAAAAGAAATATATCTCAGCTTTAGCTGGCTCAACTAGTTAAAGAATGAAAATATTAATCAAATGAATTATAAAGCATCATGTGGTCAAAATAAATAGATAAGTTTGGGGAGGGAGAGAAGGATTGGCTCCAGTAGTATTATGTGGTTATGTGTGTGTCGGGGGGAGCTGTTAGCATGTGTCTAATCTACTCAAGCAGTTGTGTGAATAAAAGTAGCCCCAGTCCTAAAGGAAATGCCAAGATATATTTTTTGAAGATTATATACTTTATTTCATGATTTACCTCTTGGAGTAGCAGATTCCCAAAAGCCCTGGATGAGTCAAATTGGGAAAGTCTAGTAGAGATATCACAAACTTTAGCAACTAAGAAACATTATTAAAGATTTTTTAAAAATTTCTCTCCTTCTTCTTGGGCGTAGAATGGATATTTCATAAAGGTTTAGTCACCCACTGTATTAAATTTTTCGAAGAGCTATGTCACTTCTTCAAATCTAGAATTTGTCCAGTCCGTGTACCAGTCAGGGTACAGGAAGGAAGATAGAAATCACACAGAGTATTCAACAAAGAGGATTTAATACAGGCAGTGGTATTGGTGTGAATCGCTTAGCCAACATGGAGGTAGTAATCTGGGTTGCCGAGGGCTGAGAGGACAGAGAGAAGAGGTTGGGGGTTTGGAGACTGTGCCTCAAAGAGCTGGGGTTCAGATCCCTGGAAAGAGGGCGTCACCCAACCAGCCCTGGTACTTGAGGAGCTCAGAGGAGCACTACAGAGCAGGCTCAAAACCTAGGAAGCGGGGCTCCCCTACTGCTGCTAGGCCTCAGAGGAAATGCATCATTATTTTTGGGTTGACAGTGATATGAACAGCGAAATAGAAAAAAAGGCAGGCGGGATGTGGTGGCTCACACCTGTAATCCTAGCACTCTGGGAAGCCAAGGTGGGCAGATTACTCAAGGTCAGGAGTTCAAAACCAGCCTGAGCAAGAGAAAGATCCCATGTCTACTATAAATAGAAAGAAATTAATTGGCCAACTAATATATATATAGAAAAAATTAGCCGGGCATGGTGGTGCATGCCTGTAGTCCCAGCTACTCGGGAGGCTGAGGCAGGAGGATTGCTTGAGCCCAGGAGTTTGAGGTTGCTGTGAGCTAGGCTGACACCACGGCACTCACTCTAGCCTGGGCAACAAAGTAAGACTCTGTCTCAAAAAAAAAGGCAGTGCTTTCTCCCCTCTCCCCACTTCCAATGGTCCCCTACACATGCAAAACCCCAATAAGAAGACGGCTGACAGAGTGGACATGAAATGTATAGAGTCCCAGTCCAGGCATCACCAAGCAGAGGCTAGAAGGGTGGATGTGGAGCTGAGAGACAATAGTTCTTCTGCCAAGTGGGAACCCCCATATGGAGAGCCCTGCTTTATGTGTGGTGACACCAATAATGGCGGTGCAGAACCTACAACCACAGCTGTTCCAGGGTGATTAGCAAGGCCCTTAACCTTTCCTTGGCATTTCCTTTTGCTACCCAGACCCTCTCCCTCACGTTGTGATCAGCTGCAAATATCTAACTACCAAAAATCGAAGATCATTGATTTTATTTACAATAATGCCGCTCTCACTCATTTGAACCAATCATGATTTGAAAGGATTCACCCATAGTTCCTACGTGGGGAGGGAAGGCTGGGAATCACTGCTGTAGGTGTCTTCTCTTTACTTGGTTCTACCAGAGAAGGGCAGAGGACACGCTGATCTGTCCAAGGACTTTGGTCAAAGAAGAGGCTGAAGCTCTTGGCTAAAACTCTGTGATTAGGGCAGATTTCATCCATTCTTGCTAGTCAAAGGCTACATGAACACAGATAAAACAGAGATGGCTGGATGGGTGAAGAGCCACTGTTTTCAAGAAGGTTCGAGGAGTTGAGAAGGGACAGGACTTTGTGGGCAAACGTCTACTCTGGTGATGCCTTTGGAAATTTTTAAAGCCTTCCTAACCAGATCAGGGTGATTGGAGTCCCCGGTAGGCTGGTGGTTCATCTGGTCTCTCATTCTTTTCACTCTATTAAAGAGAATTGCTCCTTTTCCTATTTCCCTACCACCAACTTTGCTCTCCTAGAAGATGAAGAAGAAATGAGTGATCTGTGCATTATCCACTGATTTATTTTTTATGCACTGTGGTTCATGTTTCCAGTAAATGTTTTCATTTTACAACACAAAGAAAAGTAGCCGGTTCCTCAGTAAAATGTTACTTGTATATTAAGTTGGGCACTTTTGGTTTATTAATGAGTGTAATAATGAAAGTGTGGGTTGTTGAAAAGAATCAATGGGTGTTTTTATTTAAGGCATAGCAGAAATGGTACAATGCTTGTGAATACATCATTGTCAACTGAAGGCCTGACTCGTCTAAACTTGCCTCTGATTGGTTTAAATCAAATAGGTCCAAGCACTTCATAAAAATGTCTTTGTCAGCCTGGTTTTGCTTCCAAACCTATTCATCTCTGTCAGTTTTTAATATTAGTACCAGGCTCCTGGCCATAGTCCATTAGTACTGTACTTAATTGCTCGTGTTACAGATGATTACCAATATAAAAGGCATTAATGTTTTCCCATCGCAAGGCTGTTACTATGTAGATGTCTCAAACTCAGCAAAGCTAATGAAATGTGGTTATTCTGGACATTTCTTGCTCAGGATTTATAGATAAAGTTACTGTAGATTATGATGCAAAGAAAAGTACCCACCGCCTCCCAGGCAGGACCTTGTAAACGGAACATTTTCTTTCTTGTCTCACCCTTTACCTTAGGTACCCCAATCACTTTCTTCTACCAGTTAGTAAAGGAACAAAAAGGAAAATGGCTACTTTTATGGAATTCTCTTAGCTTGATTTTCTGGAATGGTAATTCACTTAAAGGCTTTGTTTTCACATGCAGATTTCTCTTTTTTTTAAAAAAAAAATGTTTTTTGAGCACATGCAGGGGGAAAAAAAATCTTTACACAGAATACCAGATTACTGGTTTTAATTTTCCTGAATAAATTACATGGTCTTTTTCTGTGGAGCACATGAAGTTGTTATTAGGGATTTTAAAAGGAGCATTAAGGCCAAAGTACTTTATGATGTGCGTTTCTGAGTATTTAGAAAATCAAAATCATAAACAAATGTATGTGTTTGTGAGGGAAAGGAGCAAATTATGCTTCATCTCCTTGCATACGTAATGCCCAATTTCAAATTCTGACCTCTTGCTTTTCCCATAAGCATTTCTTAGACAAGGCTGCCTGGCTGAGG